TTGTAAATCTAAAAGAGAGTCTTTGCAAGATTACATGCATTATAAAATGTTTAGAAAATAAAGAAATGAATGTAAAATAGAAAAATCACATGTAAGATCATATAATCTGTAATAAAGAATTAACTTTTTTAATGGAAAGGCAACCCACTGTATGGGAGAACATCATTGCCAATGATATATCAGATAAGGGGTTAATTTCCAATATATATAGAGTGCTCATACAACTCAACAAAAGGACGACAAAGAACCCAATTAAAAAGTGGGCAGAGGAGCTAAATAGACACCTCTCCAAACAGGACATACAAATGGCCAAGAGACATATGAAGAAATGCTCAACATCACTAATCATCAGAGAGATGCCAATTAAAACAACAATGAGGTATCACCTCACACCTGTCACAATGGCCGCCATCAACAAATCATCAAACAAGTGTTGGTGAGGGTGTAGAGAAAAGGGGACTCTAGTATACTGCTGGTGGGAATACAGACTGGTGCAGCCACTATGGAAAACAATATGGTGTTACCTCGAAAAATTAAAAATTGAACTTCCATTTGACCCAGTGATCCCACTTCTAGGAATATACCCTAAGAAGCCTGAAACACCAATCAGAAAGAATATATGTACCCCCATGTTCATAGCAGCACTATTTACAATAGCTAAGATCTGGAAACAGCCCAAGTGTCCTTCAGTAGAAGAATGGATAAAAAAGCGGTGGTGCATATACACAATGGAGTACTAGCAGCGGTAAGAAAGAAAGATCTCTCATCCTTTGAGACGACATGGAGGGACCTGGAAAGTATTATCCTAAGTGAAATAAGCCAAGCAGAAAAAGACAAATACCACATGATCTCACTTATATACGGACTATAATGAACATAACAGTCTGAGGAATATGGTAGACCCAGAAACATGGAAGTAGGGCACAGAATGACATCCCTCAGAAGAGAAGGTTGGGGGTGGGAGGAGCTAAACCACAGAACTTATATGCATGTATGCATGACCAATAGACATGGACAACAAGCCGGGGGCGAGGCGGGGGTGGGGTGGGAAGGGGGATGCCAATGGGGTAAAAAAGGAGAAACATCTGTAACAAAAAAATAAATAAATTTTTTTTAAAAAAGAATTAACTTTTGTATATATAGCCCACTAGGCCCTTATAAATATGTATACACATATACTTTTAAACAAAATTGGGACCACAGTGTACACACTGTTTGAAATCAATTTCAGGTTTCAAACAGTAAAAATAACCAAAAAATAAATTTCAAAGAAGAAAAGGAAACTGTCCTTCCTTTCAGGCTTCTCACCAATTTCATCAATTTCCCTTTCCTGCTCCTTTGCACGTTTACCGTCTTTCACTCCTGCCTGGTCCTCTTGCGCCGGCTCCATGTTTCTCGTGTCCTTTGGACCATGTGCCACATAGTTTTTGATAAGTGACTGAAAATTTCCAAGTGACACAGTTGGTAAGCATGGTGAAATTATTTCAAGATCAAGGACAGAGAATTAATATTATTATAACTGACAGACTTGAACAGTTACTAACTCTAACACATTCTGTATGCTCATTCAGCTGTTGGCCACACTTCCCCAAATATCAGCATTTGGCGCCTTATGGGAAGCTGCAGCTTCATATGGGATCTTTTTTCTGAAGGGAATTCTGCTTTTCTTGGACTTTGTTTTCCTCCCAGGCTTCATCTTGGAATGGCATTGGGAAGTTCCTGCCTTCAGAGGACACAGACTGACCTTCTAGTCTGTGGTGCTAGAAATCGAAGTAGTGTTACCTCTGTGTGTGTGTGTGTGTACATGGGTATGTGTTGTTTTGACTGGAAAGGGACCAGAGTGATACATCTGAGTGGTAGTTACATGGATGTACACACGTACTCAGTGTACTTGTGTGCTTTCCTGTTTGATGTTATGTCTCAGTTATTTTTTTTAAATACTGCTTGATTCACCCTCTTGCCAGGCTGTCAGTGATTGGGGCTGGAGATCCAGTCAAGATCAAGGAAATTCCGGAGACGACAGACCAACCCTTGTCTTAGCAGTAGAAACCTCTAGCCTTTTCAGTTCCTGGACTGTTCCATAGAACAGCAATACCCCGAGATGCTCCCCGCACCCCCGAAAGGAGTCTGTGGTCAAGTAAGTGCAGGAAATGCTGCATTATCTAAGTCTCTTTGCAAGAGTCAAAATGCACATTGAAATATTAAAGGTTCTAAGTCCTACAGCAAAGAAACATGTTTATCCCAACTGTCCAAAACTTACTTGACCCTGAAACTTGTTTAATTAGTGTCAACTAACACCTTATTAAAATAATCATGTGCTTAGACAGAAACCTGGTCAAGGCCTGCCCCCTCCTCCCAATCTGGTGATATGTACGCCACCTGCTGGTTTTATTGGGTATGAGGTCGCTCAGGAAGCTTCTATTTTCACTAAATCACACTCACAATCCAGACTTCGTTGTCAACGTGCTCTTGATTCATTCCCCCCCACACACACACATTTAATGTACCAGGGACTGAGCAACATAATTTGCCTTAATTCAGTTACAAAAGGAAGTTTTTAGTGCAGACTCTCAACCTAGAAGTCAGATCACATGAATCGGCAGTGAATACCAGTGTCCAAGGCAGGGAAGTGAAGCATCTGATCGAATGAGAACCAAGATGAGCGCAAAGGCCTTTGGAATTCTAGGCCTTTCTAGAGTAAATACTTGATAATAAATTGAGTTAGTCTGTTCTACTTCTCTAATTGGAAGTCCAACTTATTTTAACAGACTTGTATAATATTTAATAAACTGATGAGCAGAGCTATATAATTCCATCTACACCCAATATTTGACATTTTCACTTAAATTGTTAGTTTTACTACTCTTGTTCCTGAGGTTATAATTGTTAAAATGATATCACAGTTTATTTGGAGAGAAGAAATAAAAGTAATATAAAGGACTAAAAATATGGTAAAGTACAATTATACCATACTTTATTTTTTATAGAGCTTATTATATTGCATGTTTTTATAGGCTACCTATAAGAAGAAAGTTATAAAATATTTTCTACAAATAATCTTACACAGTATGTTCTATTTATCTTCCTATCTCAAAACAATATATATTGCTAGCAGAGATTTCTTTAAAACCACCATTTTTTGCCAGAATGGCTAAAGATTTAAGCATGTAAGTAGTTGATACCTGACACTGGGTGGGCTAAAAAAGGTTGGGCAGTCGCGTTTTTGTCCCCCTCTTTCACTTTTTTATTTTGAGAGAGAGGAAGGGAGAGGGAGAAACATCACATTGATAGGCGGCCTCCTGCACGCCCTCTACTGGGGATCGAGCCCACAACCTGGGCATGTGCCCTTACTGGAAATCAAACCAGCGACCGACACTCAACCAACTGAGCCACACCGGCCAGGGCTCACTTTTATCTTCATCTCATCATATCTAGATGTCTCCAAGAGATCTCTGAAGAAACCTCTCTGCCTTCAACTCCATGAGCAAAAGCAGCTGGGTCTGCAAACATCTGCCTAATCCTTTTAGGGCAAAGGTGCTGGGGCCCAAATTTCAAAATTTTAAGGAAAGAAACTCTTAGTTTTAAATACAATTATTTACAAATAATGCTATTCTCCAAGAAGCATACCCTATCGTGTGCTGGCCTCCTTTTCAAAGACTGTCAGAGTCAACAGCTCCTGGAGCAGTATTCCAGTCTTCCTGGCATTCAGAGATCAGTTACATCACAATCAAGTAACAGTATAAAGACGCTGACTTCTGGGTTTTTCCTCAGACCTACAGTTTGTGAAGGTAGGGCTCAGTCCTCTGCATCTTTAACGTGCCCCATAGGTGCTGATCCAATCACCTGTGGAGATTCTTTTTTCTTTTTTAAATGTTTTTATTGATTTTGGAGAGAGGAAGGGGGGAGAGAGAAACATCAACATCAACATCAACTGGCTGCCTGCTGCAGGCCCCCTACTGGGGATCGAGCACACAACCTGGGCATGTGTCCTGACCGGGAATCGAACCAGTGACCTCTTGGTGCATGGGACGATGCTCGACTACTGAGCCACACTGGCCGGGCAAGAATGTTTGAATGCTGATGGTGGATCCACTCACAGAGTGGGGCTGATCAAGGTGAGGCATGACATCTGTATTTATAAAGAATTCCACAGGCTATGGGAGTAGGCACAAGGGTTGTGAGCTATGCTCCAAGAGATGATTACAGAAAGGAGGAATGTTGATTTCCATTCGCCAAAGGATTGTGAATGTGGAGAAAGACAGGCAAACATATTAATCAGATTCAGAGTCATTATTAGTGACGGATACAGAAAATGATGTGAATTAAAGATTGAATGCTGTGACTTCTCAACCTAAAAAAGGTTCACAGGGACATTTCGATGACCTTAATTCTTAACCCTGCTGCTCTTTAGAATCCTTCAGGAGTGAGCTTTTTTAAAATACCAGGGCCTGGGCCCTACTCCAGACCAATGCGATCAGACTCTCCGGGGCTGGGGCAGGGGTGGGGCCGGGGTGGAGGGGTGGGGCCTGAGCTGCTGCTTATTTGCATAGCCCTGGGCCCAGCGTGTGCAGCCAGCCCAGGCACCTTTGCTCTGTGACATAGATGGTCTGAGACACCTGCTATTGTTACATCACAAGCAGCTCCCGTGGGCCTCCAGACCCCCGGTGGCCACTCTTTAGAGCCTATTATCCCTTGTTCCTATCTCTTAAACCACCATCATCAGGATTGGCTATTTTATTTATAAAAACGGGTTGCTACCTGCTTTCTGGCCATAATTTGTAGCAGTATATGTTTTTTAGAACGAAGGCCAGAAAGTTTTATAACTTACAAATTTGCCAGTTAAAACTGGGGAGCATGAGGGTGGTGGTATCTGGAATTTTGTGATCTGTTGCTTGGCAACTTTTGATGAGCCCGGTCAATTACTTCCTGCTCCTAAAAGCCGATTCATTCTTCATTATGCAGAGGGCTTGAAAAGTCACCAGAGCAGGCCATTCCTGGCCATGGCACACTTCTTCTACTTGACTCCTCAGATCCTTCTGCCCTTTAGCCCTCTTACGCCTCAGGAGTTTGATCTGATCAGACGCAAGGCCGGGGCATCTTGGCGGAACGAAACAAGATGGTCAGACTCTTCTCTAACCACATACTCGGGCAGTTACCGGAAAAAAGAACGGGATAAATCCACCTGTGGCCGATTTCCTTTGGAAGCAGGACAACACCGGCCAGAGTGTCACCAGTAAGGTTTCTTTGTAATTTGCACCTGGATATGTCGCTATAAATAGACCAGAATGTGATCAGAGAAAGAGGGTATTGTAAACGCGGAGAGACTTCCTGGACTTAACTCTGCATCTTTTCCTCTTGTAAATGTCAGTGGGGAGAAGAGCTAAATGTCAGTTACCAGCTGAAATGATGATTCTATTTAGTGCTCGTAAAATTATAACTACGTGCTCCTGAAAACATAAAAATACGAATGTCTGATTGAACTGTAGATATTGTGTGTTCTCTGCTCAGCAAAGAGGGGCTCTTGGGCCTTTTTCTTTGTGTCTTTTCTAGTTTGTCCACTTTTAGCTGAAAAATCTTCCCGGAGCAGGAAGTTGACTAAATTCTCCTCTGCTCTCCACTTTGTAATGTCTACCGAAAAATACAGTATTGGGGGCCCGAAAGACAGATTCCGAATGTTTACTGTTAGGCCCACACATAAAAAAATGTAATTTCAGTTTAATATGATAACTGCAACCACAGAAATAAGTAGTCAGCACATGGGAGGGAGATGCTGTCAGCGTCTGGGGAGGGGTGGCCTGTTGTGAGAAAGATCTCAGTGAGGCAGGTCTCCTCTGCGCTGTCTGGGGAGGTGGGAAACCACGCTTTGGAGGAGGGGAGGGGTGCACACAGGGAAAGAAGCGTTTAATCCCCAGTATTATCAGAGAACTGCAGAAACTGCTCATGGAGGTGTGGAAAAATATGAGGACTCATGAAGAAAGATGTCCCTCCGTGTGTTCGTTGTCAACGATCTCGTCTATATTCTGGAAATCTATTTGAAAATCAATGGTCTTATTGGCTCCAACTTGAGATGTGAAGACACTCAAACAATACCCTAGTAAATATTAGTTATATTGCTTTCCAGGGCTTTCCAGATTATCAAAACAATGCTTAAAGCTCTGATGTCTCAGAAGTACTTTCCGATTGGATGCCTTGTCTGGTTAATTTGGACAAGCTGCAGTCTCTGCATCTTTAATAGCGCTCAAATATGTTAGAACGCCAGTTAATTTGGGATGTTCCTTTGCTAATTCTGTGAATTTCAAGACATCTCTTGGCCAGATCGGGGAATCTCCAAGTTCTACTGAAGAGGTCCTCTCTGAAAATAAATAGTTTGAAAGCTGATATCTGAACATATCCACTCATCAGAGTAGAAAAAAATAGTCAATAACTAGAAAAATGCAGAACTGTGATGTCTGGTGACGATGAACAGAACTTTGAACTTGTTTCCTATTGGGAGTATGATCATTATGTGACTCACAAGGTACCCTGTGACATTGCAAACCACTAAAGAGCACAGGCTTGTGAGGTTCATCTGCTTTTTGGGACCTCAGAAATGTAAATATATCCTTTGCAGAACGACTGTTTGTGTTGTTATAGGCTAAGAAGCAGCAAGGGTTAGACCTGAAGATGGAGGGCAGACTCTACTCATTTTGAAAGTACTGGTTATATTCCAAATTTGCTTTTGTTTTTAATCTTGCTCTTGGTTAATTTTAGCCCCAAGGACAAATGTCTTAAGTTAGGAGCAAAAGCTGTTTGATTAAAAATTTGAAAGGCTATAAAGAGACGTTTTTTACACTGCTATAAAATCTAAAATAGTCCGAGGGGGATTACGGAATAAAATATGAATGACTGATCATTTAAAATGTGTCAAGTCAGGAAATTATTAAAGTATACGAAACATAATACTTTTTATTCACCATATACATTGAATACCCATATTGTGCAAGACGGAGGAAAGTTGGTCATTTGGTTCTGAATCCGTGTTAACAGCAATTATGTAAAATTCATACACGTGCTGAGAAAAAGCTCCTGCTTCAGGAGAATGGAGGCGAGTGTGGTCCCACCCTTAAGCTCTCATGGAATGTGGGTATCGATTCCAGCTCTCATGGAATATGGGTATCGACTCCAGCTCTCATGGAATGTGGGTATCGATTCCAGCTCTCATGGAATATGGATATCGATTCCAGCTCTCATGGAATATGGGTATCGATTCAAGGTTAAAATAAGGGAAGAGTTGCATTTTGGAATTCCTAAGACAAAAAGTATGGCACGGGTATCAGTTTTTAAGCCTTGATGCTTTGTTTATTCATTAAATCATTCACTTATTCATTCATTAATCAAATATTTTTAGGATCCTGCTTTGTGTAAGGTCTTTTAGGCTAGATACTGGGGCCACGGGAGTGATGAAAACATATATAGCCTTGTCTTCATGGAGCTTACAGTCTGGGGAGGGAGGCACCTGCCAGGTAAACAAGCCATGTGTGCTTTGAAGGAACAAATAGAGAACTTGGTTTAAAATGAAGAGGGGTGCCCTGGCTGGTGTGGCTCGGATGGCTAAGCGTCAATGAATGGTGGCTGGTTCGATTCCTGGCCCGGACGCATGCCTAGGTTGTGGGATTTATCCTGGGTAAGGGGCATACAGGAGGCAGCTGATTGATGTTTCGCTCTCACATCAATGCTCCTCTCTCTCCCTCTCCTTTCCTCTCTTTGAAATTAATAGAAACATATTAAAAACAAAACCAAAAGCACCAGGTAGATTAATTCTCTATGAATTAAAGAGCTAAGTGTGAAAGGCAAAACAATACAACCATAAGATTATAATATGTAGACTATCTTGATGATCCTGAGGTTGGCAAAGATTTCTTAAATAGAACCTAAAAAGCACTATCTACAAATAAAAATGAGATGAGTTGTACTACCTTGATATTAAATAGTTTTGTTTGATGAAATGTCCATTAAAAGTATGAAGAGATGAGCCACCAAAATAAGAAGATATTTTCAACTCAGTGGCTAACAAAGGGCTTGGAATCATCACAGTCTAAAGAACTCCTACAAATTAGTACAACAAAGACAACCCACTAGAAAAATCAGAGAGACTGTAAACAATGAAATGCATAAACGAAGATATTCAAGTGACCATTAAACTTATTAAAAGATACTTAGCCATATCAGTAATCCAGAAATGCTTAACTAATCACAATGAGCTTACATATAAGTAATCCTCCAGAAAGGTTAAAATGAAAAAGACCATTAATACTAAGTATTGGTGAGGGTGTAAGACAATGAGATCTCTCATAAACAGATAGTGGGGATGTACATTGATAGACATCTTTAGAAAACTAGTTTGGTCTTCTAAAGTGGACACTGTGGATACCCTAAGACTTAGCAGTTCTACGTCTAAGTATATACCCAGTGGAAATGCATTTTTCACAAATACACCAAGAATCATGTACAAGTATGTTCAGAGCAGCATTTTTCTTAATAACCAAAAAACTGAAAACAAGCCAAATGTAGAGTAAGTAGCATTCAACTACAGCAGCATGGCTAGGCAGCAGAACGTTCCTACAACGTCAATGAATATGAGCTAACTGTGGCCCCACCCAAGTAATGTCACAAACATGATGTTGAGCATTTTAAGCCAGATGTAATACATATTGTACAATCCATTTGCATAAATGTGTTTGGGTATGTCTGCATAGTTGATACAAAATATAAAGAGAAGCAAAGATGTGATTCCCGCCCTGGCTGGTTTGGCTCAGCGGTTAGAGCGTCGGCCTGCGGTCCGGAGAGACCCGGGTTCGGTTCCCGCTAAGGGCACGTACCTCGGTTGCAGTTTGTCCCCGGCCGTGGTTGGTCGTGCGGGTGGCAGCCACTCGATGTGTCTCTTTCACGTCGATGTTTCTCTCTCTCCTCCTCTCTCTCCCTCCCACTCTATCTGAGCAAAAAACGAAAAAGTGTCCTCGGGTGAGGATAAAAAAAAAAAAAGATGTGATTCCCATAGAAGTTAGGAAACCACTCTACTTACTACCTAGATCATACCACCTGCCCCAAACCTACTGAAAAATGATTACTAGGGTCGGGCTCGGAAATCTCATTTTAAAATGGATGCCCTCGGGATTCAAAGGCTGCTGCAGGTTAGGAGAAGAAGATGCAGGTTGGGCCCCCAACCCCTGTCTCAGGGATGACGAAGGCTAATTTGTTGGCTGAACACATGGATAGGAGCATCTTGGTACCCTTGAGGCTGACATGAATTCCAGGCCATGCCCACCTCACACCCACAGCTCCAGGTCCTGGAGCTTGGAGACTCTTTTTCCCAGTCAGAGGCCCTGAAACAGTGGCCACGGTGAGTTGCACTTGAGAATCTATGACTGTCCGTTTCACAAAGTAACCTGCGCTTCCCACCAAGCCCTGGCTTACCTAAAAAGTGTGCCCTGTCTGGATTCAGGGAGACTGAGGAACAGATGTGTTTTGAAGGACAGGCACACATCTGTGTGTCCCCAAGTTACTCCACTACTATTAAGTTCTAAGTTGTATTGGGAAACCAACACAAACACTGTAATATTTTCTGTTCCATTCATAGCACTTACTTTGAAAACAACTTCTTAGAGAAACACTCACAAATCCTCTTAAAACAGTTATGAACTTAATGTTTGAGTTTTTCATGTACAAAAGTTGAACATTTTACCGTTGTATAACACATCAGGGAACAAACAAGTCACTGAAGACAGCAAGTCCAACTTGGGTTGGTTTAAGGAGAGTGCGAGATTGGAGTTGGGAGTTGGAAAGGGGAAGAGAGGAAGCAAAAATTTCAGAAATTAAATGAAAAGATAAGTGAAAATCCCTCTAAGTACCATAGGCTGTGACTTATAGACCCATACACTTACAACTTGTTTCTTCTGTTTGCTCTCTTCAGGATGTCATCACCAAAGGGCTCTGCCTACAACCCCACACTCAGCAAGGCTGGTCCCCAAGGTACCCCAGGCGTCAAAGGTAGGTGCAGCATCATCAGCTCTGAGCAGGGCCCTTCTGGTGAGGTTGCTTTCATTTAACTTCTAGGTTCTTGATTGAAGTCCATATGGTTTCCATTTGCCTACTATTGGCAAAGTGTCCTTAGCAATAAAACATATTCTACTCTGGGTCTGTCATTCTTAAAAATGGCAGTTATTTTAGGGCCAAAATTCCCTTCTTCAATTAGTCCCCAAATGTAACTCTGCCTGAGCTTGGAGCTCTAGGTAATGTAACCTGAGCTTTACTGGGTACATCAAAGAACGGAGAAGGAAGCCAAAGCTATAGACCACCAGCCAGGAAGTGATATCGGCTCATCTGTAACCACCTCTACCCGCTGCAGTTACTGGGATAACTCCGGCTGCTATAAGAGAGAAACCTCGGAATTCCAGGCGCTTAACATGAGAAAAGGTCTTTTTTCTTCATTTAAAGGCCAAGGTGGGGGTTTTGCAGGTAGACCTCCCAGGGGTGATTTAAGGGCGCAGGCTTCCTTCATCCTGGGGTCCCACACGCAGTCGCCAGGTCCCATCAGATGCCAAGGAGTTCAGACGGGCTCCTCGCTGGGTACCGCCTGCACCTGCGGGGAAGAAATCGCCGGCCATCCTGCCACACTGATTCTGCGGACGGAACAACAGGCTTTTCCTGTCATTTCCTTCTCTCAGGGCTCAGCCTTTGAAGGTTTAATAAGACTAACGCCATCTCAAATTAGAATTATTGAGCACTCTATGAAATGTCCCGGTAAGATTTTTTGCTGTCGTATTTAAAGGTTTAGGAGATCGCGCGTTTCAGGACGGGGTTGCTGAGGGGAAAGAGCTGTCCTGCGGCCCTGTGGGGTTTTCCTAAATGATGGAGACAAAGGTTTCGAACAGCTGCCTGGGAAGAGCACTGTGCTGCTGGCTTTCCCAAGGACACCGGACTCTAGGGGAGGCGTTCCTCTGAGATGGGTTTTGCGCGTCCTCTGTGGTTCGTTGAGGCAGAAGGACAGGACAGCTACCCATTTGCGCAGCCGTTAGAATCAGGCAAGACTCACTTTCTCTCCTTCGCGGTAATGAACATAAAACTGAAACACACTCCGTAGTTGGGAGACAAGACCGAGCGGGGGTACGAGAAATTAAACAGCTGATCACGTCATTCGGTGTCAGCTAAGGGGACAGCGCATCTGATCTGAGTAGCACAGAGTCGCTCCCATTACATTTAAATTCTATCTGTGCCCTTCAGAATTCTGATGAACCCGCGCTCACCTTGCCCTGGGGCGCTGAGAGCCCAGCAGTCCCGCAGTCGGAGGGGGGCAGTATTCAAGGGTAGTGGCATGAGCAGCAAAAGCAATAATTAACCACTGTGTGACAGGTGCGACTTTGTTTCCCTCTCCGGCGCTTATGGCGAAGTACTGTAGGAGGAAATGACGGAAGTGTCTGTATCCATAATGATGACTTCTTAATAGATTTTGCCCCTGTGGCTTTTGTCACTGTCCTCAAACGGTCAGTTTAATGGATAGCTGCAGCAGGTCCTCAGACAGCGCTGTTCTGGTCAGTGTCGTTCCCTTATGACGTGACGAGACGCTGTGGAAATGAACTCTTGTTTATATCACTCAGCCGTCAGCAAAATCGGTTTCGTTCTACATCATTTCATTTAAAGGCACGAAACCTATACCCACAGAGTGAAGTGAGGACCTACTGTACTGGCTTCATTTAGAGGTGACAGTGCATGAAGGCAGAATTATGTCATTTGGCCAAAGGGTAGCTTCTCCTTGTGCTTCTTTTTCAGTTCCCATGTTTAATGTTTGGATGATGCTAGAAGCCCCTAATGAGTTAAAACCTGAAGGCAGGGGTCAAATGATCAATCCAGGCCAACTTTATAACTTTGTTAACCACTGGCGGACATGGGTCTGTTGATTGTCTCTTTGTGGAGATGTGTCCATTCGTACAGATATGCAAATCAGATGGGCCGGGCTTATGTGTGATTCACAGTCATCACAGCAAAAAAGTTCTCCAATTCCTTCTCACAGCTGCCTTTCAGGGGGTCCAGCTGTCCTTGTTGTGCCTACATGGAAGTGGGTTTCCTTCTGCAGTACATCAGTTTCTTCCCAGTGGTTTGATTTGGTTGTGGCTCCCCGCTCCCATGGCCCCCTCGTAGGCTCATCTCCTATATTCAAAGAACGAAGCGACAGCTAATGAAAATACAAGTCAAGTATCATAAAAGTCGAGTACAACAACGAGAAATTGACAAGCAGTTCAACTTCCCATTTACACGCTGACAAAACAGATCCTAGCAAGTTCTGTTCGCTTTTAAAGCTGCTCTGCAGCAGAAGCATTGATGAGGAGCGAGGTGGGGTGCAGACCGGGCAGACCGGGGCAGCGCTCACTGGCCACCCCGCCTCTTCTCTGGCTCTTAGCCCTGTCTCTGTGTCCCACACCTGCACCCCTAAGGGTACACTGGCCTCTTTTAGTCTTGCTGTTCCGGGAGATGTAAGATGTACCAGGGAAGAGGCTTTAAATCGTCTGACCATGTCACAGCCCAGCTAGGACAACATGTGTGAGGTCTCCTTGGGAGAGTCCCTAACCACAGGTAACAAGTTCCAAGTATCTGAAGCAGCTACCTGGAACTGTTTCTATGCTATACATCCTTTTACAAGATGACAGTGTTTTGGAGAATATTGATAAGGACCGAATAACACTCTGAGGGCAACATCAGGATGGTTTGTCATGTCGCTTCAAGAGTGTTTGTGTCCATTGTTGACATCTCTTTTCTTCTATTCCTTTATTCCAACTTTCATTTCTCTGCGAAGCCTTCTCCAAACCTTGAAAAACTTTTAAAAGCAAAAAGGACTCACCAGACTACCCCACAAATGATGTCTTCACACAGGGAAGTCTTAAAGCAGAAACAAGTTGATGCCACTTCAGTTTCCTGTTGCACTTGCAATAAAACTTAATTCCTCATCAAGGCTTTTTAGGTCTTGCATGAATGTGACCCTGCCTGTCTTCCCAGGCTTGTTTTGTGCCTTTTCTCCCTTTTGTTCACTCTGCTCCAGTTCCAGTAGTTTCTTAAAAAAAAAAAAAAACCAAACAAACAAAAAAACCACATTTTTTTCTTTATTGATTTTTTAGAGAGAGAGAAGGGAGACGGAGAGAGAGAGAGAGAGGAAGGTAGAGGGAGAGAGAGATAGAAACATCAATGAGAGAGAACATCGATTAGCTGCCTCCTGCATGCCCCCCACTGGGGTTTGGGCCCACAACCTGGGCATGTGCCCTGACATGGAATTGAACTGGCGACTTCTTGGTGCATGGGTTGACACTCAACCACTGAGCCACACCAGCCAGGCAGTAGTTTCTTTTAATAACTTGAAAACGGTAAGCCATCCCTGCCTCAGGACCTTTGCACATACACTCTCTTTGCTGGAATGCAATTGTCCTGGCTCTCTGAGTTGTAACCTCAACCTGAATTTAAATGTCACCTCTAAAGAGAGGTTATCCCTGGACACCATATTTAAAGACAGTTCTTCACACTCTACCACCCCCCCCCAAATTTCTATTTGAGTGCCTAGTGTGCTTTCCTTGTAATGTCGTATTTGTTTACTTGCTTACTATCTCCTAGAGCATAAGCTTCCTGAGAGCAGGAGCTTGTCTGTCTTGTTTGTCCCTGTGGCTCTAGCACCTGGGACAGGACTCACCCAAACCAGAGGCCTTACAACTGTGTGCCGAACAACGGTTACTATGGGCCTTCCAGTGTTGACTGTTTCTTCCTCACAGCATACTTCCTTAGAGAGGCAGTTTCTTATCTATAATTTGTCTCAGAAAGGGAGTGTATGAAATACTGTACTTTTTAAAATTGGCATGCAGTTGTTATGGAAGCAGTCTTTCAAGCACGTGTGTTTCCAATGGCAGTCTTTAGACTCCTCTGCGACAGCACACAGAATCCTAACACTTGAAGAAGCGGAAGGACAGACAGCATATGGCACTGTCGCATATTCACAGGGTTGAGTTATACTCCTCCCCTCCCCGCCAGGTTCTGTGGTGGGCTGAAGGAGGTCCAGCCAGCCGACCCGAGTCTGAAACACGCACGTGTAGTAGCCCAGACAAGTGTTGGCAAGCGTGACGGGGGTGATAGGGAGGGAGCAGGGAGGCAGGAGGGTGCCCGGTGCCCGTCCGCCCAGGGCAGGGGAGAGAGGCAGGAGGGTGCCCGGTGCCTGTCCGCCCAGGGCAGGGGGGACAGAGGCAGGAGGGTGCCCGGTGCCCGTCCACCCAGCAGGGGGGAGAGAGGCAGGAGGGTGCCCGGTGCCCGTCCACCCAGCAGGGGGGAGAGAGGCAGGAGGGTGCCCGGTGCCCGTCCACCCAGGGCAGGGGAGAGAGGCAGGAGGGTGCCCGGTGCCTGTCCGCCCAGGGCAGGGGGGACAGAGGCAGGAGGGTGCCCGGTGCCCATCCACCCAGGGCAGGGGGGACAGAGGCAGGAGGGTGCCTGGTGCCCGTCCGCCCAGGGCAGGGGGGCAGAGGCAGGAGGGTGCCCGGTGCCCGTCCGCCCAGCAGGGGGGAGAGAGGCAGGAGGGTGCCCGGTGCCCATCCACCCAGGGCAGGGGACAGAGGCAGGAGGGTGCCCGGTGCCCGTCCGCCCAGGGCAGGGGGGACAGAGGCAGGAGGGTGCCCGGTGCCCGTCTGCCCAGGGCAGGGAGTGCTCTCCGGTTTTTAGTCACGTGACCCTCGTGGCTCCCAAGCTTCGCTGACCTTGCTTCCACTGTATCGCAGGGATGTGCCATCTTGCATTGTTTGGGGATCATGTCCAAAGTTTATGGGGCTCCAGAATGGAGTTGGAACAGAGGGGGCTCCCCACAGGTTTTCTAGTGTGTGGAATAATAAAGGGGTGACCCTGTCCAGTGTTGCTAAGTGGTTAGAGCATCGGCCTGCGCACGGAAGGGTCTTGGGTTTGATTCCAGTCAAGGGCACATACTTGGGTTGCAAGTTCGATTCCCAGCCCTGGTCGGGGAGCATGTGGAA